AGCCTCCATGTCTCCAGTGTCTTTTCCCCCACTTGGAGCCGAACCCAGAAGGACATTTCTTTCAACACATCTTTTGCACCTTGCATCAATATTGCAGTCACATTTATCACAACCTGTAGATCTTTTTCCTGCCTAGTCAGAGACAGCCCAGAACTATTGTTGTGTAAGTGAAGTTTAGGCTTTGGGGACAAAGATATGTTGCTCTATATAATATCCTTCATCACCATAAACTGCAATTGCCAGTTAGGCTGCATCAACAGTTTAATAAGACTCATATAGGAATGTAAAGAATCTTTGTACCTTTTACAGGCACGGCTTTCTCCCCTGTGTTGCTTCAGATACAGATTAACAGACTTGGAAGGGACCTTGTAGGTCATCTAGTCCAACCCCACCCCAAGCGGACCCTACCACACCATTTCTGACAGATGGCAGTCCAATCGTTTGAACCTTTTCGCGATTCCTATTAGTTACATAGTTAAAGAAATGGGCGCTGTCCTCAGAACAAGTTTTCAGCTACCTCTAAGAATTTTTGATTTTTATCCGTCAACTTTTCCGCTCGTCAACCCTAACATTTGGGGCTGGTGCCAAGGTGCCCACTGGCACGGGATCTTCTAAGATTTTAGCCCTTCCCAGGGATTCACATTAAAGCCTTTCTCGCCCCTTGCTTTCCAATTAGGGGATGAGGATTCGTTGAAGCCAGCAGAGAGCAGCGTGAGGCTGCCCAGGCGAGCAACAACTATTCCGCTTCCGGAGAATTTGCACGGGCCTTCCACGGAGAAGGGAATTCTCGCGCGAAGCTCGCCGCCCTGCTTCTGACGTCCTGCTTCTTGCACTCGGCAGCTGGTAAGATCCAGGCGAAAGGCGATTGCTCGAGGGCAGCCGCGTTCCCAAACGCAAGGCTTTCTAGGAACAAGGACGCGCAAAGGAACGTGTGGGTCAGTGCAAGCGAGGCCGTTGGCGTGCAAAAGGGGAGGTTGGAAGAACCAGAGCGGCTTGAAATAACTTCCCAACATCCCGCACCCGAGGAGCAGTTTCCTCCAAGCCGATGCCGTCCAAATGTACTGCATTTGTATTTTTTAAATCTGCCTTAGACGTTGCAAAAAGAAATAGCTATCTGGAGATATGGCTCTTCAGTCAGTGCTCTCTGCTTAACAATTAAATATACTGTTATTTTCTTAAGGACGATGTGATACAGCATGTGCAAACGTGGTGAAGTAAAAGATCTAGCAAATGCAATTTAGAATAGAATAGAATAAAATAGAATAGAATTCTTTATTGGCCAAGTGTGACTGGACACACAAGGAATTTGCCTTTGATGCCTATGCTCTCAGTGTACATAAAAAGACAAGATACATTTGTGGAAAGTTATCACCCAGACCTCTCCCAGAGAAATGAAATATCCTAGGAAATGTTGAAAAGGCAGAATATTATATTTCCCTGGATGTGAAAGGGAAAAACATTTCAAAGAGAAACTTCCTGCCGCTTCCTGCCTCTCCCCTTTTGTCAATGGGCCATTAAGAAGGCCAAGCTAGTCCCTTTACATAACAAAGAGTTATCCCCTTCAGTTCCAGGGGATGGGATTAAGGCATGATAATATTGGCACTTTACCCAACTCACCACATGGCATCTGAGAACTCAACCAAACCTGGA